GTTTTAAAAATCAAAGCACTGAAAGTACTGATGGGAGTTGATTATTAAATCAATTCGATGTATGATTGATTGATTTATATTGTTTTACGTCCCTCTCAAGAATTTTTGACTCATATGAAGATGCCATCACTTCCCGGTGGAGAACTGCAATTTATTTTACTTATACTCGGCACCCATAGAGCAGAGAGAGGTCTTTTTTGAGCCAGCACCTACTTCGACCAGGGACCTTCTTTTACACATTCTCATCCAAAGGACCGGTCTCCAAGTCTTTTTGTGCATGGGATTCAAACCTGAACTCGATGTGTGTAACCTTGCCCACTTTCCAAATTATACTTATATTAATGCTTCTTGATTGAGGCATGTGAGAAGCAAATGCATTAGGGGATTTCGTGATCTTACAGAGTCAAAGCGATATGGTTTGTCCTACTGTAAATCACTTTTTATTAGAAATTTGTTTCCGCGTAACTAAGCAAAACAGCGTAATTTCTCTCTCGCACATATACATGTACAAGTACTTTTGACAGTTTTAAAGATATAACCACAATTCGTAAAGAAATATTTTGTCATGCTAATAAATAGTTACATGTAATGACTATCTCGCGAAAATAAGATGTCTCGAAAATTAAGTGATCTACAGTTATTTGAAAATAGCTTGAACGTTATGCGAAATCTTGTTAGATTAATCGTTTTCCTCACAGACTTCGTCCTTATCTTAGATGAAGGTATGGAACTTGTACTTTCAGTATCTAAGATAAAAAGTTGTTTTGGGATGAAAATGACACTCAAGACAAATTTGAGAGAATATGAATAACGCACTCAGTGGGGAAAATGCAATTATCTTAATTTGGGTATGGGGAATAACTAATATGGATAAATATTGACATAACTTGATAAAAATATCATCAAATGATTACGACATCACAATCAATTCATGAATAAGGTGGACAGCGTTTTTCGATATAATGAAATTTAATTGTAGTAAAATAACAAATACAATCTAAATTGGTGATGAGAAAATTAATGTAGCTTTACTTTGAAGGTATTTCACAAATATAGATTTTGGTTCACAATATTAATCTTGTAAAATAGGAAAAGACTATTCAAGCCCATATCAACAATTTATCATCGATAGTATTATGTCTAAGTGTAGGGTTAATCTATCAGATTCAGAAATTACATTTCCTACAGCAAAATTAGTAACAAATTTATACACATCAGGTATTGAGTTTTTAAATAATCAGTTGACTTTTTTTCACAGATTGAGCAGGAGTAAATTCTGAAAATAAAGTTTAATAGCTAGGTTGCTTTTCATATTTTTTTATCACATATGAGTATATATTTTTTGTGAATGGCTAAAACCCCAAAATTTCATGTACATACAATAAAATAAGTTCAATGATGTTCAAAAATCTGAATTTAAGTATAGTTCATGTAGTTTGTGATGTAACAGATTGGGGTATGTATTTCATACTTATAATAGAACTCGTTCGATTATGACATATTAATTATGCCTTTTTGCCTGGTATAATTCATTTTTAAAATGAACATTTTATATTTTTGAGACTGATTTCTGTGAAATCTAATTAAAATTGCAACGAGATATTTGTTAAACCACAAAGCATAATTTACTAGTACGTGTGTATTTGGACTTTTTTCCCAAAATGTATATGCACTTTTAGTATTACACAGATCTGTATTATAGGGAAATTGGATACCCCAATATCCATCCACGTCCTTAAAATACTCAATGTGCCAAAAATTTGCAATAATCTATTTCCACTCTTTATAATTATCTTGCTTAGTCAAACAGTCATCACGCAAATTGCCTATCATTATACTGTATATATAACTGTACAACTTTCCAAAAACAAACGAAATTAACAAGCTTCATATATTACGCATATAAAAATCATCCTGTGTATACTTTCATTTACTATCATTCCGAACACAAAAGTAAAAGGCGAGAAGTAATATTAATCCATGCAGTAGGTCACTTCTGCAGCATTTGGGAGATCTTATCTAAATTAAGCTTTACACATATTAGAGATTCGCAAGCACACAATGCCCGCTGAGTTATCAATCAGCCTGAGGCAGGTGCACACATACACATGTATTGTAAACAAAACAGCTAGCCTAGACATGAAGTTTTGTTCTCTGTTTTCCAAATTGACTTTAAATTTTATAGCACATCTGATTACTAAGCGTTTTATTGTCTAAATATACTGTATCAATTTTTTTTTTTGTGTTTTTAACCACCAGAATAACATCATGTTTTCTCATCACATTGCAGACGCTTTGTTAGTAGAGAATTTCTTGTCTTAAAATTAGAAAACATGCACAATGTATGAATACATATCAGAATCGGTATGATTATTTAGGTGACAGATGCTTAAGAGGAAATTAAAATGACAGACTAAAGTTGAATACAGGGTGATTGTGGACTATATTGTCAAGAATTATGATTTCTTTATAGTAAGTTTAATGGGGAACTATTTTCTTATTCGCAATGCTCATTTTCCTTGGCGGCTGTTTGTCAGTTGCACTTCCTGTCTTGGACCACTGACATAGACTCGTTGATATAATCAACTCCCAATAATAACATTAATTTTCAAAACTGGCTGATTAATTTTGTCTCTTCAGTAGATAGAAGTTTCATTTGAAACTGCTTATATTCTAATTGCTTGTATCAAATTTGAATTCCTGTCTAGATAGACACCTGATCAAGTGATCCAAATGTTTTTTCTGCTTTACGTGTGATACAATAAATAAAGGAAGAAAGATCCAACTTTGTTGCTAGCCCAGGCCGATATTGTTTTCCATGCAGTGGTATACGGGGTATTAGACTGCTTGTATCAACTATGATTTTATGCTTTTTGATTTGATTCACATATTATCAAATTTCCAGGTGATTATTTCTTTCTTGTACTAAGTGGATCACACTCACACTTCAGGTTTCGTGGGAAGTAGTTGCAGTATGGAAAAATACGACATCTGAATACCTCAGGTTAAAGAGCCAAAAAAATCAATAAAAAATGACTGACGTTGACATTTCCTGTTACAGGAGGCGGGGTTTATGCCGGCGTGTGGACCACACTTAACCGCGTGTCATCGTGTTGTTAGATTAAGTTCATTGTGAAAGAGATACAGAGAAGGTTAGGTCTATCTACTCCTCGCTGAAACAGGTTAGTTTTTTTTTTCTTTCCATATAATTATGTCTTTATTTTGACATTACTATATCTTTCAAATGTTGTAACCGATGGTTTTATTTCCTCTGCATTCACTTCACGTCAGGTTTCTTTCTGTAAAGAGGTTAGTTACAATATAATAATTTCAAGAGGAAAGTATAATTATCTTCAATGTATTGTGCATAATAACAGAACAGTTGCAATATTCGCTTCCCTCTTACCGTCAAAGAACGGCTACTATTAATCCAGAAAACCAAGTATTACCTTGACATTTTTCAAAACAATTAAGAATCTTTAAAAATGAACTAAGAATGGTACACTCAAAAGAAATGTACTTGCAAATTGAAGAACTTTGTGAAGTTTTTCCCAGTGTTAAATGTTGACATATTTAAATGTTGACATATTCAATAGTTTAAAAATTGTAAATGAATATCAGCTGAGAACTGATGATTTTGTCAACTCTGAAAAATTAAATCTAAAATTCGTGTATTACCCCGAGATGCATTTCATGCCATGCAATCGATAAAATATATTTTATACAAACAAGTGGATTTTATTTTACAACTACAAATCTTTGGAAATTGGCCAAAAATTGTACACTCATAATTCAGAAACGTACTCGTGATATGGAAGCTTTTTAAATGTTTTCTCGTTTTTTTGGGCACATGCTGTATACAATTTATTTATTTCACTCTTGAATTTGTCCGTCCGTCTGTCTGTCTAGCTGTCTGTCCGTCCGTCCCTCTGTAAACTTTTCACATTTTTAACTTGTTCTACAGAACTACTTGGCCAATTTTAACCAAACTTGGTACAAAGCATCCTTGGATAAGGGGAAATTTAAATTATTTAAATCAAGGGCCAAGTCCCTCTCCAAGGGGGAGATAATCAAGAAAATACAAAAATAGGATGGGGTCATTAAAAAATTTTCCTCTCAAAAACCAGTGGGCCAGAAAAGCTGAAACTTATGTGGAAGCATCCTGAAATAATGTAGATCCTAAATTTTCCAAATCATGACCTCTAGGTGTAGGGCGGGCCATAAAAGCTGAAACTTATGTTGAGGCATCCTGGGGTAGTATATATATTAAATTGTTTAAATCATAACACCCAGAATAGTGCACGGCCACAATAAGGAATTTTAATGGAATTATATAGGACAATCTTTAAAATCTTCTCAAGAACCACTGGTCCAGAAAAGCTAAAATTAAGTGGATGAATCCATGAAAGCGTTAATTCTAAACGGGTAAACAGTTTGATTCCAGGGGTAGACGAATAGTATTTTGCCTAACAACACAGTCAATAAATGTTTTGTTATACCTTTTTTACATACATGTACTGACTTTCTGGATTCCAACACTGAAGTTTAATTTGTTCAGTTCTGTAAATGATGAACACTCATGAAGGCAAATAACTTGAAATAAGATTTTATTGATCATGTTCTATTTAGTTCCACATGTACTTGTTTACATACTTTTCCCCCTTGTGTGAAAGCTTTAATATGCATTCAAGATATACACGCATAAATACACATACATGTGATTGTGATATTATTATTATTGCATTGCAAGCCTTTGTTTTATATCAACAGGCATATAAACATAATTATATATATAAAATGAGAAAAGCGTCTTTTCACAAATTGGGGGGGGGGGGCAATCAACTTGGGCAATCATGAAAAATTAAGATTTCAAGAAAACGTCTTTCACGGTAATTATTTCCAATGAAACTCAGATGATGAAATCAAGGGGTAACCACTCTGTTGTCTTATTAATGATTAACTTAGAAGTCCTGATGAAATTAAATATTTTACAACTGGTATAAAGAATATAACATCCTGTTTTCCTTTATTTGAATGAAATCTACAATTATGTCATTCAGGTATTGTCATTTTCAGCGTTGTTATGTCACAGGAAGGTTAATTTATCTGTCCATTTCAATTTTCTCCTAAACTGTTGTTGTCCATTTGGAATGATCTTTCAGCCATGGTTCATTAATCAGACAGAATGAGCATTCACCTATAAATTAAGAGTGAATATGATTTTTTTGTCAAAATTCAAAACTCTCTCATGTGATAATCTTCACCTTCAAAAACTCTTACTGTTTGAACGTTAAACAAAGGAGAAATAATTTAATCTTGATTCCATTTTTTTAAGTTTACATTAACATGATGCATCTTGTTCATATTAACTTATTAATAGTTTAATCAAAGTATCAATATGAAACTAGTACTATAAGAATAGAGACATTTCAAATGTTATGCAGAAAAATTATCTCTTTTGTAGCAATAATAATTTAAACATCAATATACATAATAACCTTCAATATGTATAAAAAAAATTCCTTTTCACAAATCTTGTTGAAGTAAACTTGGAAACATGTTTTAGCGTTCCGGGAAAAAAATCTCATTGTCCCAAACACTAAATGTACATAAATAATGAACTTAAATATATGTATCAATTTACAAATATTTTTACTAAAGTAATAACAATTCTTGTTGAAGTCAACATAGAAATATGTTTACATGTAAGGAACTCTTGGCAAAAATGCTCTTGACTCAAACACCAATGCACATTAATAATGACCTTAAATATGAATATATGCATAAGATTTTACTGAAATAATCAAAAAGTTTGTTGAAAGTCAGACTTATTAATAAATTGAATGGTTTTAGACTTAGAAGAAAAGAACAAAATTTAAAGAATTTCAGAATTTTTCATTCCATGCTCATTGTCATCAAAGGACTGATAACCGAGTTTATAAATCTATTTAAGATCACTTGTGTATACCAGACTTTTTATAAAAATCAGTTTAAAACAGCAGATGTGATTATTTAAGGGAATTTATTGATTAGGGTAGGGTGGTGTAATTTCGACCGAATATTTTTTTGTACTTAAGATTTGTTAAAGTACGTCATTGTTATGTTATGCTACAACTTTAACTGGATCCTTTTACCTTAGAATTACCTTTCATCTTTCAGATTACATCGATTTTGTTTATATCTTTGGTCATAATATGAAATAAATGCGTTCGATTTACAAGATACATGTGTTGGGTAATTTCGACCGCACAAGGGGATTTTCCACCGATGAGCCAATACAAAGGAAATAATTGGCGTCAGCTCTGATATAGTGCTTATATAGTTTTAAAAGTTATTAATTTAAATTTTACTGCTGTACAGCTTAAAATATCGAGTAAAAATACTGACCAAAAATGACAATTTTCTAAATGTAGCTACTTTGAAGACATCGAGTGCACCAGATGTCTATGTCGCCGAGATGCCAATATTGGTTAAGGCATGCTACAAATGTACATGTACAGGAACTAAACCGCATGTAAATAAAACAAATGCTTTTTCACTTTTGTAGTACTATTTTCTATCAGGTATTAATTTACATAATTCTTATCCTAATATTTTTTTCCGGACGGTCATGAATTCTTTCTGGTGTCAGATAGTATATTGCGTCATTTTACATTGGTGGAAGTTACCCACTGACGCCCGCCGTACTCATGTAGGGATAACCTAGGCCGGTTTCTGTTCAGCTGGTTTGCAATTTTATTCATAAAAACTAAATCCTATAAATCAAAAGGATATAAATTTCATTTTCAAAATAATATTTGATAAATAACACGTCAAGGATATCCATTGATTGTCTTTCCATGCAAGATTTTTCTGAGGTGATAGTTCGCCGTAGTGGCAAAAATATACTCGTCTGTAACTTTTCTGGTGATATAGCCTATTCTTTGGTGATATTTTCCAAAAACGATCTTAATTAGTCTCATAAAAATAAAATTATTTTGGACACAATATATAAATGATTCGTTTTCTTTCGGCATAATATAAATGTACATACACAATTATACGCCATAAACAAAATATATTAAGGTATTTATGAACGGTCGAAATTACCCAGGTGGTCGAAATTACACCACCCTACCCTATTGCACTTCTCATAATCATGTCAAAACCTTTCTTCAGTTGAAAATCTGAGACATTAGAAGTACAAAACGTGTCCCATTGACAATAATATAATTCAAAATTGTAATAATTTTGCAACTTTAGATTCATTTTTACAATATATACAATTGTGTACTATATATTTTTTTTTTAAATTTTAAAAATTGATTTTCATAAAAACAATGAAAGTTCTTTACAGAGTTATGCATCTTGAAGTTATCTTCTAAAAAGCTGTAGAGGTAGTATTTTATTAAACTCTAAAATGGACATATATAAGCTTAATACTGTATAGGGGGAAAATAACTCGCGGTTTTTATATTCGTTATATTCACGGTGTTGATGAATCTGTGAATTCAAGAAACATTTTATAAGTTTTCAATATGTACGAGGGTTGTCCAAAAAGTTTGTGGACACAGACATTTTTGTGAAAATAAATGGTTCTATATAAATCTGTTGTATATCAAAACATTTCTTATGAAAAACAAATCAGAATGATATAATTTTTATCGATGGAACTTAATATAATTGTAAAAATCGGGGTCTTTAAAGGTCTTGGATAGTGCGCACGGACCAAGGTTAAAATGACATAAATGCTGATATAAAGTGTTCGGATTAAAATGATTTTTTTTTCTATATAAGACAAGTCAAAAATTAATTAAAAATTTTATGTACCACAAATAAAGAGGCTAGAATCATTTTATGATATCTTAAGTATCGTTTACTATATAGACAATACAAATGCTAAACAAAACCCTAACAAATATGTCAAAACTCGACAAAAAAAGTGACGTCAGTCGTTCGCACGGGGCAGCGTCTGATTAAAAAAAATAAGCTTTTATAAGGTTGAAACGACGTAAAAGACAAAGTATTTGTTAAAACAACTCAAAATTATTGAAATATATTTAATGTATCAATTTCAAATTGGTTTATACGATTTTTCAACGGTGTGTACAAATTCGATGACACTAAAAGAGTTTAAAAACGCAGGAATTTTTCTGAAAATGGAGATTTCTATTCATGACGTTGTTATGAAACTAGCACAGCCCCATACGCGGCTGTGCAGTTTGTGTACATAAACTGTTTATTTAGATGACGCTTGTAACTTTTTGTGCATTGTTTTGAAATTTAAAAATTAAATAAATTATAATCTATACATAGTGATTATTGCTAGCACTTTGAAGTGCATTGCGCCTTAAAAAGAAATTTAGTGTGTGTCCATGAACATGTGTTAAGTCCAAGTCCAAATGTTTGACGCTATAATAAAACTAACTTAACGTCAGACTGGTCCGTACACGCAACCTGCGATGTATAAAGACCCTGAATTTTACAAAAATATTAAGTTCCATCAATAAAAATTAAACCATTCTGGCTTGGTTTTTTCATAAGCAATATTTTGATATATAATAGATGATATGGAACCATTTATTTTGACGAAAACGTCATTGTCCACGAACTTTTTGGACAACCCTCGTATATATAAGGGAGGAAACTTTTCTCACATACCAATTCCTCGAATTCAAGAAACCGCGACAGTGTCAGAGAAGAGAAAAACGTGAAAATTACAACCTGTGAAAATAATCCCCAATACAGTACTTTTGGTCTGACCCAAAACCATATTTGATCATTATTTGTCACATCTTTCAAATAAAGTACTTTGTATCTAAACACACATTTGTTTTAAGAGATCAAAACAGCTTTATAGCTGAATAATAACAAAACAGTTTAAAGGGGCATGGACACAGTTTCAACTAATTTTTTTTTAACAGTTTTTGTTTTTACAATTCCTACCCAATGCATCATCTAATGATTAGCAAAATATTGAACATCGATCATTTGATGATTAACAAACAAGAAACAGAACTAAACAGTTCTTTAATTATTATGTAAACAAAGCCCAAGCCTTGTTTTTGTTTACAATAAGAAAATATCCTATGTATAACAAAATTAAGTTCAGCAAAGCAATATAAACTGTATAACTGTATTTAAAATTAACTTCTTTATTAAGCTTATCCACTCTGAATGAACATATACATGTATTAGTATATTAGCCTATGTAAACAAAAACATAACACAGACCTTTTTTACAAAACAAAAGCTTGGAGCTTAATTTAAATCAGACTTGTATCTCGAAAAATGAGGTTCAAATTTTTATTATCATTAGAAAGACCTTTGTTAAATATTTGTAAAAGTGGAAAAATAAATTTTGAAATTTTAGTTGAAACTGTGTCCATGTCCCTTTAATCTGCAGAAAACCTACCTGTAGACCCATTTAAGCAAAGTAGGTTTTGACTGTGCCCTTGATGAGTTCTGCACAGAGGGGGCACCTCCTCATGGCGGGGGCACAGTCCAGACAGCAGACTAAGTGACCGCAGGGCAAGAAGGCTGCGGCCACATCCTTGTCACAGCACACCTTACACACTATAGTCTCTGTCAGACCAAGGAAGTCCTCCTGAAGTACCTGCTTCTCTGTAATTATATAAATTAACCATGATCAAAAGTATACAAACTGTGGCTTTCAAAGCCAATAAATTAATTCTCCCAAACTGGCTGAAAAAAATACCTCCAACCTCTATGAAATTGCAGTAATACTGTGACTAATTTATTGATGGGACAAAAGGTAAAAGTACTAAGCAGACTTGAAGCATACCCCATACATGTAATCAAATTCTAAGGAGATTATTTCTTCATACCTTAATTGTATGAAAATTAAAAGTGATTATCTAAAATGTTAGCAAATCCTAAATGTGTCAAAAAGACAGAATTTTTAAAATTTTTAAATCTGTCTGCTTTTTCTTTCTGGCATTGACCTAACTCTATACTGAGAATTAACATACCTTGTTTTTCTCTCTGATCATAGCCATATTCTCTAGGCTGACCATCTCCTGGATCAAAATCTGTTCTGTTTTCTGTACAAAAAGCAAAGGTATCATCTCTTAAAATTGCTCTTGTAAAGTGCAATAACTCCACAGAGTAGAAAAAGCTATCACTAAACTACTATGAAAACGGAGTTTGCTCTCTTTAATTTGTGAATCATGACACACAAAAAACAGGAATTTCTCTTTTAATTTTCGGTTTTTATTAAATTCAAGGAACAGAGAAGTTAAAATTAAATTAATCAAGATTCAAAATTAAGTTAATTGCTTGTGAAGAAAAATATAATTTTAGGGATTTTAATCTGACATAATTGTTCTGCTGTACCTTCTAAAGCTGAGGCACCATCACTTATGTTCTGTACTGAGGCTTGAGAAGATCCATCTGCTATTTGTAAATCTTGTATTCCTATCAACGTGAATTTCAAAAAAAAAGTTGGCTGATTGATCATACATTTGTGAACAATAAACAGAAAAAAATAAGAACATCAGGCATAAATTCACAACATAGTAAATATTTCTTGTAATGATATGCAAACATCTATCATAATTACTCTAATTTTTCTTTTAGTTATAAAGCATTCATGTCACTCAAATTCTCCTTTTCTCTAGCTAAGTCCATGAACAAGTTTAGAAATTTTATCTCTTTTACTCTCTCTTTTAAAAGATATTGTTAGTATGTTGTAACATTTTCCCCCAATATTTAGTACTTCTCCCTGTCTTTGGCTAACATAACACTGTCTTCAAGTGATCTGTATGTAACCTACCTTGATTTAGAGCTACACTGTACCTGGTATAGTAAGAGGCCTTTCTTGAGTGACAGGTTGTGTATGAGCTTGGTCCTCCTCCTCTCTCTGTATCTCCTCTATGATATCTAGTATCCCCGCAGCAGTCATAGGGGGAGGATGGCGTCTACCTGTATCACATAAATTAAATTGTTAGAAAATATCCACAATTACATCTCTTTGTGCCTGTGACCATACATGGTCAATCACCATTAATAAATAACTTTTTTCACAAATTTAATTAAAACAATTTTACTTTGTTCATAATTCAAGTTGATCATTAGAAGTTTTGTCTAAAGTTGAGGGAATTATTATCTTTGATCCTAGAGCCTCAGGGGGAAAATACTCATGCTGGTAGGAAATAAGACTAAGTGTTATTATTGCAATGTTTTTAATATGTTGTTCAAAGATACAAATTATCATACACATGTAAGAAATGGGGATCTTGTGAAATCTAACTAAGATGAATGATTAAAAATCTCAAAATATCTACATCTATAAAATTTAAATTTAATTTTTAAAAAAGGCCTCTCTTATCTGTGATTCTGATCCTAATTTTATTCTACCAATTAAAGCATTAAATTTACAGCCATTTTACATAGAAAACTGTTTGAAAAATTTGATTGTTTCTGCTTTGTGGTGACAAAACATGTTAATTTTAAAACTGAGCAAGATGTGTTCCAAATTTTATTAATAGAGGGAAAACTTCACACATCCTTATAACATACACTTATGTTTTTACATACTGAATATGTATGGATCCTAAATCTTGTAAAAATAATGTGGCAATGAGGAACACTGTCTACTTATTTTAGAACCCCTCTTTAAAGGTGTATTGGTAATACACTACTGTATACAGAGTTATTTTCGTCCAGTGTTATTTTCGCCTTTTGCACTTGCGAACTATTTTGCCACTTTTTAAATTTGCCCAGTCATAGTTTTGTTTAAGAAATTATGCTGTGTAATTTGAATTCACACCATTTTAAATTCAGCCAATTAGGAAGAGGGTGAAAGGGGCAAAAATTTCCCTGTATACAGTATGTTTTCTACCTGGCTTCAGGTTCAGTCTCCACTTATTCATGGCTCTCTGTATAATCTGGTTAGTAAATCCCATCTCTCGCAGTGCCTGGGCTATAGCAGTCTCCATGTCTCTCTCTATCAAAGAACAAAACATCAGAGGTTAGAACACATTGTAATCTACCAAGGGCATGATGAAAACAACTCACTTAAAATGTCTATAATATAAATTGTTATTATTCAGTAAAGTAAATTCTTATGTAAAAAACGACCTTAGAGACAGCATGGCTACAGATTCAAAGTATTGGTGTTTTGATCAAAATACATGCAATACTATTTAGTCTAGATATTTAATGAAAAATTCCAATTGAAAAACTTACTCATTTGTCTATAAAAAATATATTTAGAAATAACTTGTTTTCATCATTCTCCTGACCTATGTCTCCATATGAGTGAAAAATTCTCGAGAGCGATGTTAAACAATATACAATCAATCAATCAATCAATCAATCATTATCCTGACCAGAGAAATTCATTATACTTAATTGTAGTGAAAACAGGGTTTATGCAAGCTATTCCCACTTTTTGAAAATCAGGTAGAAAAAGGTGAAATTTCAAGACAAGACAAGACTTTATTCTCATAAACTGTACAAAACAGTATAGAGAGGATATTACATAAAATATTTACAATTGATTAATTAAGCATGCGTGAGACAAAGAAAAAGGAAAAAAAAAGAAAACAACAACTACATTGGAAAAAAAAAATGACAATGTCACAGACCAAGAGAGCCGACTCTCTCCATTATAGTTCAAATGAATTTACATAACTTAATTAATTTTTCCCTGCTGTTCAAATTAAATAGTTGGTCAAACTTAAAAACATTAGGATTTGTATAATAGTACTTGGGCAAAAGATTTAATCTAGAATTCTTAATGTATGGGTCAGTGCATTTAAATAAATAATGAAATTCATCTCCTATTTCCTTGCATGAACACAAGTGACAAATTCTGTTTTCTCTTACAATATTATACCATCTACCTGTTTCAATAGGAAGCTTAGCATTTCCAGTTCTAAAAATACAATATTTCATAGAAAGTTTAGGAGGTAAATTCAACAAGTATTTCTCAAAAGTTAATGACCATTAAGTATAAAAATATTACACTGTTTACAAACATCTAGGAGTCTTCTTCCATATTGATTAATAACTATATCTTTAGATTTTCTCTCGACAGTAAAATTGTATTTTTCCAATTGGTTTACATCAACATACTCTTCAAGTAAAATATTTTCACCAATAACAGGGGTTACAGTTTCTAAATATTTTAAAAAATCTTTATCAGTTGACACTCTACTATTGAAATCACCAACTAAGCATATACATTTATTTTCAATTGCTATGTTTGATATTTCTCTTTCAAGTGCATCAACAATTTCAACCGAGGAAAAGCGAGAATTTGAGGGTGGTATATAAACAGTTCCTATGATCAAATCACCTATGTTACCCATTTTTTTACTTGCAATTTTAATCCACAGTACATTTTCACATTCGTTATTAATAACAGAAGCATATTTAGCTAGAGTATCTCGAATATATACTATAATGCCACCCGATTTCCGTATTGCTAATTTTGACCTATGTTTACTAAATACTGTAAAATTGGGAATATCGATAATGTCCGCTTCATCAGTCTTTGCTTCTGTTAGACAAACAATGTCATACTGGTTGATGAATTCAATAAATTCTACAATTTGAAGTTTAGATAACAGCCCACAAACATTCAAACTAACAATTTTTAATTCTGAATTACTTCTTATTGCTGGATAGGTGAGAGAGTCGTTGTCAGTATTTACAATGTTTACACATCCGGTGTTTTGCTCTCTATGGTATTCCTAGTCTTCCGGGTTCGCAACGCGTAATTCTGGTTTGTTGGTGGAGGGCGGCGTGACGTTCAGGCACAGAGTTGATCTGTATGTTGAAGAGGATTCCATGGGGATGGCGGGTGCATACTGGCTACGGTTTGGTACCGGTCTGTCATCAGGCAGTGGGTCTGATGGATAGACTCTAACGTTATCGACAAAAAGCTTATCCGCGACCATCACCGCTTTCCTGTTTTGTCGCTTTGCTTGTTTATAATGTGGGTAAAGTAGTTTTCTTCTGTCATTTATAGCCTTTGGAAATTGTTCATTGACCCCAAATGGTTTTCCGACTAACGTGGCGGGTGCCTCTCTTCTTACTCTCTCGCGTTCTTTAAATAACACAAATTTTGCTATAATTGGGCGGTGTTTATTTGGAATTTTCCTCCCAAGTCTGTGTACTCTGTGGAACTGGATTTCCTCCTCGATTCCCATTACAGTGTGAATAAATTCTTTCAAAACTGCCTCTGTATCTTCTTCTTGAGCTTCTGGGATTCCGTCAAAGATAAGGTTATCCCGCATTGTGCGCATTTGAAGATCCAGGTGTCGTTCATTCAGGTCAAATAAATTGTTTTTCATGTCTGGAGCTCAGATATTACAGTCTTGTTCTCTTCAACTATGACCTCTGATCTTTTCCTGATCTGGACCACAGATTCTTTTATTTCTTTAACTTCGCTGCGTTGATCTTCATATTGTTTGCTTAAGAAATGCAGGCCCTCGTCCATGTCACCCATTTTAGCTTTCATTTTCCTCAGCTCATCGTTTGTGTTTATCACATTTTTTTCTAATTCCCCTAATCTTTTGTCAATTAGGTCGAGTTTGTTCAGTTTGTTTGACATGTTTTCCAATTTATCTGTCATAGCTTTCAGAGCGTCACGTATATCGAATTGTTGTTGATTCGGTTGACTGGCTATTGGTGAAACAAAACCAGCGAACTGACCTTGAGGACCTGGGGGCCCATACGGGTTGAACTGATTGATTTGACCGTTTCCTTGATAATTTGAACTTGCATTAGGTGTTGAGTGTTGCATAATGGCGGGGTTGCACATACTTGCATTGATTTGAGCATTTTGAGGATCCATACTATGGATTCTTGGTATTGAAGCTTGATTAGTACTCACACGAATTTTCTGTTCACTCTCACCACTGATGTTTACATTCTTATTCTTTCTTTTCTTCGTCTTCTTCATCACGGTTCCAGGCTCCATTCCCAAACATCATCCTTCCGATGGATATAGGACACAAAATCCCAATATTTCAATGGCTTAAAACGGTTAAATAACGAAAAAAGTTAAAAAATATTCGGAACCTTTTTTAAGACTACCGCTTTATCTCACGCATGCGTCTGTCAGCCCGTGGGAGTAGGTGGAATTTTTGTGTAAACAAATAATTAATTAAATAAACATGCCATTACTGTGAAAACAGTAATTATCAAACCACTGGGAGTAAGGACAGGTAAATTTGCTATTTTAAATTTTAAAATCTGGCTTTTTACTTCTATTTCAATGAGAAATTAGACTTTTTCAAATCTTTTTCAGATAAATTATTTATTTTTATTCATTAAAAAATCACATTGCAAAAGACTGGTGTATGGTGAAACATTACAAAATATAGAGAATTTTTTTTTTAAATTAAAAAATTTTCATAATTATACACATGCAAAAGTATATATATTTCAGTGAATTTAAGTATATTTTAAATATTTTTTTGATAAATATATTTATTTTCTGTCTTAAAATGTACAAAATAATGGTAAAATACAGGTAAATCTAAGATGGGATGTAAATAGTCTAATTGCTGTAAAAACCAATTAACTAATAAAAAACATCTATTGTTATTTTCAAGTGGGAATAGTTGGAATTGAGATTTTTAAAAAGTGGGAATAGCTAGAAGACACCGAAAACAGTACCATTTGTACTGAATCTTCAAACCAATTCCTAATTATTTTATATAATTCCTGTGATACAAATCTTTCTCTGTCTCTGTTACTTTCCATTAAAAAACAATATCTGAAGGCAAAATTACATTATTTTGCACTTTGATTAATTATCTCAAAATTGTTCTATAAAATACTCCTATTTGTGTAGAGGATTAATTATGATAATTGTATTATGTCTGAACATGTAAAGCATAAAATTCTGTACGTTACCAATTGGTGGTGGCAATTGAGAGGAAGGTTCCAAGCCTGCTTCCTATACACACAGTAAAAATATCAGTTTCATGCATGAAGCAGATAGAGATCTTTGTTAACAAGCAAAACAGATTGCAGAATATATATAATAACTCTTCATATGATCCCTACATATATGTATAAAGATTTTTACTAAAATGTATATGTCAACATGGTTAAGTTTGCTAATATAGGTTACCTGAGTATCATGTAACAACTTTCCAACACTTGAATTGCTTCATGTTTTTAACCAAAGGCTATGAAATTCACAATTCTGATAGAGGCACCATTGCTTATCATAACTATACACTAAGGTTGCTTACTTTGGTTACTTTACACTCTATATATCACTATATAATCTATAAAGCACCAACCGTGGCAACAGAACCCAGACCCTGAAGCCATGAAATTTACAATTCTAGAAGAGGACAACCATTCACAGTACTGTAGCTTATTGGTAGAGCGTTCACTTCGTGATCGGAATGTCCAAGTTTGATTCTAACCTACGATTCAAACCTAAGATGTAAACATAGGTAGTGACTGTTCCTTTGCCAAGTGCTCGGTACCAGAAGTGAAAGTCACGGGTCTTTCAGATATGACCTAAAAAAGGTAGGTCCCATGTCACGGTAGGCACTGGCAGGATAAAGAACCCTCACAGCTCAATGGCCCTGACTGCCGAGTATAGGCCTAAATTTGAAGCCCTTCATCGGCATAGGATGACGTCTCCATATGAATGATAAATTCTCGAGAGGGACATTAAACAATATACAATCAATCAATCAATCCTCATTACATTCATATCAAGAGTAAAACTGCTTGATGTCCAGGAGTAAAGAAGATTTTTAAGGATTGCACTAATTTTAGTGGTTTTAGCCCAAACCCTCACCCCATGGGGCAGAAACCATGAAATTTCATATTATTGTTCCCTTTCACCCATAGATGCTTTATGCCAATATTGGTTGAGTGGTGGCAGAGAAGAAGCTGAAAATTTTCAAATAATAATGTACACTGCAAGATGCATGACGGACAAAAACTGATAGTTATAGGTCACCTGAGTTTACCTAAAAAATCACAACTTTTTTCAGTATTCTATAACAACATGTACAAACTAAATTTGGGTACCTCCACCAAAGTAATATATACACAACTACTAAGCATTATCTTTATCTCAAAGTGCAGTGATTTGAGAGACAAGTGCTCTTTAACTGAAAAACACAAAAAGGTACCATGTTAAAAGAATGATCAAAATTCAATAGCATGCATAGTTACTCAATTCTGTTTATAAATTTACGTTGTTGAACTGACAAAATTTCTCCACTGTTGGACGTCAACTATTTTCTATAATATTAACCTGTTCCTGGTGTCTTCTCTGTACTCTGGCTACATATTTATCTCCCTTGTTGTTCCGTAGGAAGGCACACCGCGGGAACCACCTGGCATGCTCCATCCACGGTTCATCTGTCCTGTCCCAGTTCCTCAGGCCTCCACCACAGAAAAAGCACCGCGCATAGTCCCCATATCCTGGAAAATTAATTTTAAAAAATAAATCATAACAGTTACAATAAACTAATTTTAAAAAGTAACCTGAAAACGAAGGTCTTTAGTAATCCTGTTATCATACTGGACAATTTTTAAAATTAGATTTATATAATTACTATTAATAAGAATTTCCCATGATTTTTATATCAATCATTATCTGTTTTCTTTCCTCTTGTACAGGACTGCAGATATAGAACACATATCACTGAATAAAAACTTTTAAATATATATGAAAATTTCTATTTTAAAAATGCTTGGACTGGCTTTAAACCATAGTTAATGTAATGTTAATTAAACTCATGGTTATGTCTGATCCTGTTATCATAAATCTATTATATTAAATATAATGATTTATATCATTTCACATACAGGATTCAGTGACACTTCAAGACATATCTTAAATATCCTAAATGACACAAAGCCTGCATACATACTTATTATCTTAACCAGGGGAATACTGACATGCAAAAGTCACACAATGTCTGACTAAATTGCAATCCATCAACACTACCTTTTTGTCTAAGGATAATAGATGTAGTCTGGACAAAATTATATCCAAGGAAAATCCTTTAAAATGATCTACTGCATCTTTGCCTTTATCTTGGAAATTAATCCAATAATTGCGAAGTATGCCCACTAACAATGATCATCCTGTTACAATTGAGAAAACTGCTGCTTCAGGCAAACTGATCTTACCAGCATAAAAGTAACCTGCTCGTGCCATTTCCCTTGGTGTTTGAGCCATGTGTGAAGGCCATCCATCAAAGGAGCTCAGTCTGGTGGAATACACTGCATAGGCTGGGTACTTAGGCTTGTCAAAGTTAATGCCGAGGGGGTCAAGCTGAGCCAATCTCTCAGCAGACGTAGGAGCTGGAGGGTTGGCACCACTCTGTGGGGGTCCAGGAGGATTAGCACCACCATGAGGGGGCCCAGGGGGATTAGCTCCAGCACCTCTTTGAGGTTGTGTACTTGTCTGTGACTGACTTAATCCACTAGTCTGTGATTGACTTAATGAAGGAGGAACATTAGCAGATATGGGAAAAGTATTTAGTTCCTGTTGAGATATTTCAGATGGTATTGAAGCAGAGTGGTGTTGAACATCTTCAATTTGAAAACCACCAACTGCTAGAGGTTCTTTTGTTGTTTCTGGGATGCTTCTAGCTGCTGCTGATGCACCGCCTGTTGCATTAGTAGTTGCATTGCTGGCAACCTCTGTGTCTGTTGCTTGGCTGCCTGTTGCTGAGATGCTGGCTGTTGCTTGTGTAGTTTGGGGTACTTCTGAGACAGCAAGGCCTGCTGGTGGCGACTGGCTGGAACTTGCCAGTTCTTTCTTTTTCTTTCTTTTATCTCGTTTAATTTTGGATTTACTCAGCTTTGGGGACTGTGCTGACTGTTGCTCATCCCCTAATCAAATATAAAATAGAGATTAAAGAATGTTTTAATTCTCTTATGACATATCAAATTAAAATAAAGGTGAATAAACTCAGTGTTTCTATTCTTCATGTTTTTTTTTCAGAAGAACTGTTACAGTAGAAGTAAAGATTTGTTCTACCCTAATTCAATGTGTGTGTAACATAACAGTGTGATTTACCAGACCTTTGCTTATTTGAGCTGCCTCAGCCTGTTCTGTCTCTGAATTTGATGTCTGTTCTGTATTTCGCTCTGATGCAACATCTTGTCTTCTTGTTTGATATTGTTCTCGAGCCAGACTATCTTCATTGGAACTTGCAAGGTTAATTCCACCCTGGTTATCATGTATTGTAATATTTCTTGTGGGCCTTCCGAAGGCAATGTCACAATTTGGAGATATCCTTCGATGAATCTCATTGATGTTGCTTGTTTCATCCCATTCCCGATACACATTTCTGCAGCAAAAGCATCTTGTCTCTGTTGTGTGTCCGGTGTAATAAAATCCATCCCTAGCCAACTGTAAGGTGGATACCCCAGTGTTGCTGGGATAGGACGAGAAAGTTCGCAATCGCATCCATTCCACATGCATTGTGTCTGCTGCTGTGGCTGCTTCATTTTCCAAAATTTCTTGGAAAAATCTTTCCAGTCTAGGTGGTGTGCTTCCAACTGGTAACTGTGTTGCTGACCCTGGTCTATCATAGGACAACAAGTTAAAATAATGGTTTATGATTTGAGAAACCTCTTTGCTTTCTTTCTTTGCAATTTCATTGAAGTTATTGAAGAACTTGTCCATTAATGACTGTAAAGATGCTCTCCTAATTACTATTTGAAACTTTCTTTTTGAAGTTTCTTCTCTGGTACATTGAAGTGAATATAAACACTTTCCAATTTTTTTTCTAAGTTGCTGCTTTTGCATTTGTTGTTGAACTATATCATTGGATGAAATGGGTTTTCTTTCAATTTCTTCTTGGTTGCTGCACATCTCTGATTTCTGATCAGTTGCATTTTGTTTTAAACAAGATGTAGTAGTAACTTCAACACCACTTATTTTTGCATTCTGACAATTGCTAGCAAACTTTATGAAGCATGTAAATCGGATAACATACTGAATTGACAGAAGCATAAAACAGCATAATGTGCATTGCTGAATTGCTGATACCAGATATATACAAATATTCCATTGTCTGCAAACCTCGAATGTAGCATCATTGACTGCACATTCAGAATGCAGAGGTTTAGTCATTTTCAGTGCACTATTTGAAGTCTTTTGAAGATTCCTTAATAAATTCATATCCTCTGCATGGCTTTTGGCAGAAACACATTCATTGTGAACTTTTTGTACATATGCCTGATCTGTCTTCAGCTGCACATCATAGAAGTGATCTGCACAAACATTTCTGGATATTAAGTTTGACACATATGTGTTTCCACTTTCAAGATGTATATCACTAAGTTGTGAATCAGGGGTAAATCTGCTCACAAAGTTACTGATGAACTGTTGTGAAATTTCTAGTGAACTCAAATTCTGTGACATGAAAAACTCCCTTCTTTCTTCTTTGTTTGGTTCTGCTAAATCTTTCTCAGGTGGTCCTGGCCAATGGGACTCTATCTTACTTTCAACACTTTGAAAATTTGACATCTGCTTCAATTTCCTTGATATTAGCTGCGTTTCCTTTGCGAAAGTCACATCTTCTTCATCTTTTTCTCCAGAACTAGTCATTTTTTGTATTGGTTTCCATTCCTCAGTTTGTGTTCTCTTTTCCATGGTTTTTTGTGACTTCTCTGACTTCAGTAATATCTTGTCTTCAACTGTGTTATCATTTATGTTTCTAGCATGAACATATCCGCCGTTGTGTTTACAAAAGCTTTCTGAAATCTCGCATTCCAAATGATTATGTAAACTATCAGTATCTACATTTTCAAAGGCACTTTCTACAAAATTTTCTAAGGAGGCTAAGGAGGTAATGGAAAGTGAAGGGGCAATTTTCAAAGAGAATAAATCATCAATATCTAAATCAAGTGACTCAACATCTCTTGAACATACATTGCTTTTAGCATTATCTTTGAATTCACTAAATTTAGGTACACTTCCCTCATTCAGTGACCAAAACGTATCCTGGTCATCTCTGGTCCTTGAAATAACCCTTCTTTGCAATCTTTTCCGAAAACCTGCAAAAATTCCAGGTAAATGCCATTTCCTCTTCTTTGTATCTTCACGCACAACTGAAAAATAATAGATTTCAATTGTTGACATTTTACAGCAATGTATAGAAATTTTTTAAATTCTCAGACATATTAAGAAATCAAAGATTTTGAAGCTCACCTCTATGAATGTAACATAAAAGTGAGTGGAATTTTCTTTAAAAATGTTTTAACAGATGAGTGTGAATTCTTAGTTGCTTGACCAATCCAAGGTTCAAATCATTACTGGGCTATAATTACTTGGGAATGAACCCACTCAAAAAATTTAACCTGATCACTCATCTTCAATATAATTACTTAATTATCTTCATTATTTAGATTTTGAAATTTTGGTTTTAGAAATTAAAAATAATTTTTTCGGCCACTACTTTTGCAAATTATAACATGAATTGTACAAAATTTTCAATTATATATCTCCTGTACTGTTCTAACTTTGAATCTTTCCACCTTTTTAACAGAGGTTCATGCAGGGAAAGCTTTTAGCCACCTGAAAATCTTTGAGAATTATCAGAGCTTAAAAATTTTAAAATTCATACTTTTCCTCAAAAACTGCACTTCCAATCTTAAACTCTGTGGCTCACAATCCCAGTTTTCATTTATCATTCTGAAAATTTCCTCTTCCTCTCCATAATGGTAATCAAACCGGATCGCTTTAATTTGCCTATATGAAGGAATCAACTTTCTGGCAAATCTACCATCCAGTTTCATGCAAATGCACTTTAACCTTTTCCAGAGATTCAAAAATGACTTTTCTGAAATTGCTTTTACATCTTGGAATATGTACAATTCTTTCAAAATACATTGAATTTCAATTATATCTTCAATAAACACTATGTGGGTATGCACATGTCGAATGGAATTCATTAAATATTGATGAATCTGACATAGCTGTGCCAAATTGAGAACCTCTGTGTTTCCATTCTTGAGCAATTCTTTCTGTTTGGTTGACAAAGGAATCCAAGATAATGATTCTTTTATGAGAAGCATTTCACATAATCTCAAAGGATTGATATGCAGGAATATTTCTCTGCGAACCTCTGGGGCAACAACAAGATGCAATGCTTTGAAAACAGTGCAGTAGTTTTTGGTGAAACCATCCGGATCCTCTATTGGTCTAGCCATTTTAAATTAATCCGAGCTCAATTATCATTTTACATCCTACAAAAGAAACCTAAAAATTTCAATCATTAAATTCAACAGGATGTCCTTGGGCCTTATAGGTCACCAAAGTATCAAGTAACAACTTTCCAACAATAGAAAGTTCATGGTTAAGACCAGAGGCTATGAAATTAACAATTATGAAAGAAGCACTATTGCTTATCATAACTATACATTCAACATGCTTACTTTGACTACTGGTACTTAAAACCCAGATACAGAGCAGTGGAACAAAGAAAATGTGTATTTCCACTATATAACCTAAAGTGCCCCACCCCACAGGAACCCCTGACACTGGGGCCACACATTTCACTTTTTTTGAAAAGGCACCCTTGCTCATCATAAATGTTAGATTAATACCAAAGAGCAGATTTCAATGCATTATTTTATTTCTGTGTATAATCAGTAGACCCCCCCCCCAACAACCTTGACCCAAGGGCCTTGAAATTTATTATTCTGGAGGAAGCACCCTTGTTCATCATACATGTAACTATATTTTAAGATCTTCAGCATAATAACCAGGGGCAAAGGAGAAAATTTTCAAATAATTAATGCATTTTCACCTTAGAATCAATAGAGCTCCTTCCTTATGGCAGTACCCCTTACTCAAGGTCCAAGTTCAAAATTTTGAAAGAGATTTGTATCTTCATCATAACTACATGTATGTACATAGATCATTGATTTGATACTCAGGAGCAGAGAATAACACTACTGAAAGGAATGTGTATCTATAACTGTATAAATAAAGGTACGGGGTCAAGAGGTCATAGATGTGCATATGGATAATCATTTGAGGTAATTTCTCAGTGACATCATAAAGGGTCGACGCATGTTCAGTGGATTACATACTTGCCGTTGAGTTTGAAAAATAATGCATATCACATGCTAAAAGTCGCAATAAGGCAAATATAAATTATGAATAAGTCACAAATGTAAATATAAGTAATAAGGTATCATTTTAAAACATCTATCGGGCTATAAATACGGGTTGGTACGAGATTAAATTCATCTTAAAGCCCGTCGGGATTTATGGAATTTAATCTCGTGACCAACCCGTATTTATAGCCCGATAGATGTTTAAAAATGATATCTTATTTCTTAATTACAGCCTACTCTGGATATACTGAAATTCAAAGGACTATTAATGCACATTATTTCAATATACAGCAAAACTTTGCTTTAGCGAGGTCAGTGGGACCTGTGAAATTACTTTCCTATATCTGTAATTTGTTATAATCTTACATAAAATCCATTAAATTCATATAGCTGGGGATCCAAGATGACTTTGCTATATCCATGAATTAGCAATGTCCGTGTTCTTACTAAACAAGTTTTACTGTATTCCTAAGGGATATCAACTTATGTAAAGCCGCCATTTTTATAAGATCAATTTCGATCTAAAATAAAGATTAACAAACCTGAAGAAATTAATTTGGTCATCATTTATGTATTTTCGTGAACAGAAATGAATGAGTCAGCCGGAATTGGCTATGTTTGAGGATCTGGCATTTGTGAACCATTTGAAAACACAATATTCAACACAATTATATATGTAATTCTATGATTGGGATCTTTTGTGTATTGGAGAAACATCACGAGACTGAAAAGTTTCTACTACTGGTAAATGCTGCTTGTATATAATTGCAAGTGTATTCCGATAAATTCCAAAATCCTTAGCTATTTCCAATTTAAGCTTTGTCTTCTTATCAATAGCCATAACGTGTTCATAATTATTTCCCAAAGATTAGCTTTTCTTTAGGACTGGGCAAAAATTTCTATATTTTGGTATATTGCAATACAATGACAAAAAATATTGCATTGTAATACACTTTTGTAATATCAATTTATTAGTAAAATGCTTATAGACTAAGGAATTTCATCATTTTAATTGAAATAAATGTTTGAAAGGTTGTTATCAAGTTAAACAGTAAGACAGGTGCTGTTTTATGGGTGTATTTCATAACAAAAATCAAATAAAATCAACAAGAATTTTTTTCCCTTTTCCTTACTTATTATAGTTATGTACATTTTGCATGTAAATAGGTAATATCGGGAATAACTTCGCAGTTATCTAACTTATTACCGCTCTTTTGTGGAGGAGTCAAGAAAGCTCAAATCTCAGGAGATTACTGGGGCACATGGCATTTTTACAGTAGTGACAATCAAATGATTTGAACAATTTTATGCCGAAAGAACAATGTCGGGTTATAATTTTTGTTAATACATCTAAAGTTACACATTCAAATATATTACACCCCTGTCAATGCGCGATCGGCAACGCAGATAGTTCAATTCAACTACATGAGGAAGATAAGGTTAAATTAAAACAAGAGGCCCATGGGCCACATCGCTCACCTGAGAAGCTTTGACCATTCTGTTCTTTACCAGATTTCCCCCTTGTAATACATTATGTATCCCCACCCTACCCCACTGATCATAATTAAGACATTTTGAAATCAACTACCCCAGGATCCTTCCATGTGCAAATAAGTTTCAGCTTCTGGCCCAGTGGTTCTTGAGAAGATGATTTTCAAAGATTTTTCCTAAATATTTTTATGTAAAACTTTGATCCTCCCATTGTGGCTCCACCCTTCCCCTGGGGGGTCATGATTTGAACAATTCAAAATCTACATTACCCAAGAATGCTTCCACATAACTTTCAACTTTTCTGGCCCGGTGGTTCTTGAGAAGAAGATTTTCAAAGATTTTTCCAATATATTTCTATGTAAAACTTTGATTACCAATTGTGGCCCCACCCTTCTCCCTGGGGTCATGATTTAATTTAGAATCTACACTATACCAGGATGCTTCCACATAAGTTTCAGCTTTTCTGGCCCAGTGGTTCTTGAGAAGGAGATTTTCAAAGATTTTTCCTATATATTTCTATGTAAAACTTTGATTCCCCATTGTGGCCCCGCTCTTTCCCCGGGGGTCATGATTTGAACAATTTAGAATCTACACTACCCAAGAATGCTTCCACATAAGTTTCAACTTTTCTGGCCCAGTGGTTCTTGAGAAGATGATTTTCAAAGATTTTTCCTATATATTTTTATGTAAAACTTTGATCCTCCCATTGTGGCTCCACCCTTCCCCTGGGGGGTCATGATTTGAACAATTCAAAATCTACATTACCCAAGAATGCTTCCACATAACTTTCAACTTTTCTGGCCCGGTGGTTCTTGAAGAAAATTTTCAAAGATTTTTCCAATATATTTCTATGTAAAACTTTGATTACCAATTGTGGCCCCACCCTTCTCCCTGGGGTCATGATTTAATTTAGAATCTACACTATACCAGGATGCTTCCACATAAGTTTCAGCTTTTCTGGCCCAGTGGTTCTTGAGAAGGAGATTTTCAAAGATTTTTCCTATATATTTCTATGTAAAACTTTGATTCCCCATTGTGGCCCCGCTCTTTCCCCGGGGGTCATGATTTGAACAATTTAGAATCTACACTACCCAAGAATGCTTCCACATAAGTTTCAACTTTTCTGGCCCAGTGGTTCTTGAGAAGAAGATTTTCAAAGATTTTTCCAATATATTTCTATGTAAAACTTTGATTCCCCATTGTGGCCCCACCCTTCCCCCTGGGGTCATGATTTTTACAATTTAGAATCTACACTATCCCAGGATGCTTCCACATAAGTTTCAGCTTTTCTGGCCCAGTGGTTCTTGAGAAGGAGATTTTTTTCAAAGATTTTTCCTATATATTTCTATGTAAAACTTTGATTCCCCATTGTGGCCCCGCCCTTTCCCCGGGGGTCATGATTTGAACAATTTAATATCTACACTATCCTAGGATGCTTTCACATAAGTTTCAGCTTTTCTGGCCCAGTACTTCTTGAGAAGAAGATTTTCAAAGATTTTTCCTTTATATTTCTATGTAAAACTTTGATTCCCCATTGAGGCCCCACCTTAGCCCCGGGGGTCATGATTTGAACAATTTAACATCTACACTTCCCTAGGATGCTTTCACATAAGATTGAGCTTTTCTGGCCCAGTGGTTCTTGAGAAGAAGATTTTTTAATGACCCCACCCTATTTTAGTCTTTTCTTGATTATCTCCCCTTGCGAGGGGATATGTCCCTTCATTTTAACAATTTAAATTCCCCTTCACCCAAGGATGCTTTGTACCAAGTTTGGTCAAAATTGGCCCAGTGGTTCTTGAGAAGAAGTCAAAAATGTGAAAAGTTTACAGACGGACAGACAGCTAGACAGACGGACGGACGACGGACTAAATGTGATCAGAAAAGCTCACTTGAGCCTTCGGCTCAGGTGAGCTAAAAACACTATTTTGTCATATTTCCTCCAGTTTTTCCTTCAACTTTTCTGACTTTTTAAATGCTACTAGACATGTTTAACACCATAAAAGTCCTCTACACATAAAAAATCACCATATATTAATTATGTTAAAGTTAAGTTTTCCTTGAACATGACTGCCCTAACGTGACACATGAAGCTTGTTTAAGTGGTATTTCTTACCTTATTACGTGTACCTGAAGGTCTAAAAAGCACATTTGCATTGTAAATAGGTAAAATCATAAATGTTCAATCCGATTTGAAGTTCTTCATCAAATAGAAAGTGTTGAAATAACGGTTTGAAGTGAACACATGCCAAACTTTTGGCAATCGGCAACGACTCTATATGTGATCGTTCAACAAAGAAAATATGATAAAAATGCGATTGTGCAACTTAAAATTTATAAAATAATTAAAACTAGGAAACTGACCAGTCAGCAAGGGCCCTGTCATGGGGTAGAATTAATAGGGTGCAGCTTACGGAATGATTAAAAAATGTACGAAGAATAAGCAACAGCAACTGTACTCTTAAAATTTCAAGATAATTCCTGAATATTCAAAAACCTGAAAATAATATCCATGTACAATGTATTTACATTAGGCAGTAAAGAACAACTTAACATTGAATGTATATTTAAAAAATTATGAAGCTTGTGTTATATAAAATGCCAGCTTTCAATGAATGCAAATACCTTGAAGGCTT